AGGGGTGTGTGAATCTATGTAGTTTTTAATCTGTGTCAACAGTGTCTCCTAAATATGTTTAGTGCATAAATTTGAAAAATTACCGATTAATAACACAAATTATTTAAAGACACTACAGAATACATTGTAGATTTCTTTCATTATTAATGAATATTAAATAAAACTGGGGGCTACGTTTTCTTGTGATCTAAAAATGGTGCTTAAAAAGGGGGTCCAATGTGGAAAAGTAGGTATGGGAATTTTATAAACTGTTGTTCCTGGGTATGATGGGATAAGGAAAAGGATGGGAGAAGTGGGGCATAGGCAGTATCTGAAAAGCTTTATTTAAAAAGAGAGCGCAATTTAGGGAAAATGTCAACATCTACATCTGAGTAATATCTTTATATAATTTTGTGCAGTTTTTTCTGTGAGATACAGCATAGCAAAACCCAGCCCTCCCTCCTCGCCAATGTAATAGGTCTTTATAGTCATAAGAAAATTAGAGGCTACTACTATGGGAGAATGGTGGAAAGTACCAAATTTTCCAGCTTTGATTAACCAAAATTAATCTTATTTTTATCTTCACATTGGCTTTCCATGATCATTTTTCCCAGATCGTTTTTACTTAAATGACTTCATAGTCACTTTCCCATAACTTCAGTTCCTTCGAGTGTTTTCATTCTCTTCCTCTTTAATCTTCTTTTGCCTCTCTGAATTCTCCTTAATTCCTCCATGTTGCAAAAAAAAGTCCAGCTGACCTGTTGACCATGGGTCTTGAATATATGAATAATACAAAGTTCACTCATAAACAGGTTGTGTTTTAACGGCTTATTGATGGAAGTTTTTAGGATCTTAGGTAAAACTGCGTTCCCACAAAGGAAACTTGACAGCATGGTTTTCCCTGCTCTGACTCTCTGCTTGGGGCAAGAGGAACACAGGGACTTTTTGAACTTCTCCAGCACTTTAGTTATTAGTGTTGACAGTTTAGGGAAACACCATAGAACGATGGTTTTGGAAGGAATAGATACTGTTGAGAATCTAATAATTCACTAAGAAGTATATATTTACATAATCATATGTGTAGTTTAATGGAGTTCGATTTTTCTCACCTACCTCCTCCTATGGACCAAAAACTCCAGATTAAAAAAAAAAATCACTACTGTAGAATGTAAGGATTTTGGTTTTTTAAAATTTACATCATATTTATCAATATTTAACTTCCTGCCTGCCTTGTCCCCAAAGCACTGCATTGAAATCATGTATCTATCCTAGTACTTCTGTGTCCTGTGTTTTTTTTTGAAAAAAATTAAAAAATTTTTTA